TTTTAATTTAGATTTTAATAATAACGATTGCGATTGCATAAAGATCTTTTAAAAAGTAAAGAACGTATTAGAATTTAAAGATAAGTTTAAAAAACTTTTTAATTTAAACGTTTAAACGAAACTCCGCTTTAGCTATAAAGTCTTATCGTCCGCTATCGAACTATTAAATAAAGTCTTTTGCGAAGTTTACACTTTCGAATACGCTAAATACTTTAAGCTAACTACGAAAAGCTTTATAATAATAATGATCCGTTCTAACTTATATTAATTTATCGAAGCTTATTAAACTAACGCTTTTAATAACTTTATGCTTCACTCGAGCAATTAATCGATGTTCGCTATTAAGATTAAAAGCAATACTTTAGTTAAAAGAATATCTAGCTTAAGCTTTTTCAAGTTTAAAGCTAAGCCGATGTCCTTTAATAAGCTAAACTAGAGCACTAGCTTAATAAGCACCGCTTAAAAAAATAGCCTTTTTAATACTATAAATACGAGTAGCTATATAAAAGTTTAGCTTATATTAAAAGCTTCTTTTTTAAATAATAAGCACGGCAATTAAACCTTTTTTATTATTATAAACAAAAAGATCTAAATATACTTGCATTATTTTCGAACTAATGATTTAAAAAAAGCCTCGACTAATGCACTTTCTAACATAATGCACTCTTTGACTTAGCAAGTCCTTCGAAGCTATTATAAGCTGTACCTTGCCGCTTTACTTAATCGTTAAAACGGAAATTATAAGCTTATTGCTTACTCGAAACCCTTTTAGCTCTTTAAATGCAATAATAGTGCTCGAGTGATTACGACCAAGCACGACGCTAATACTAAACGATTCGTAAACCGTAGTTTACGAATAAAAAATAGAATTTTAAACTATTACTTAATGCTTTACGGCGTAAAAAGTTAAATCGAAAGCTTAGCTATTTAACTTAAAAGCTACATTTACGATACGACTTTTAAAAAGACTGCTAGATAAAAAGCTTTTAAACTTAAGTCGAAGACTTTAAATGCTTTTAAAAATATTGCGCTACGCTAACCTTTCGTTATAATTAATAATTTCGCTATTTTTATATCCGTCTTTACGAAACAAAGTGTTTTTTTAAATATAAACGCTTTTTAGAATTCCTTTTGCGAATAAGCAATTTTTTTTAACAATTACACCGCTTTGCTAAACGATAATACCTTAGAAAATAAAGTCAGCTTTGCAAAGCACGCTTGCACGATCGTCTTAAGACGCATGCCGCTAATCCTTCGATAAAGAGTCATTAATAAATTAAACTAACCTTTCGCCGCTATAATTTAACTAAACTACGTTAATTACGTATCGAAAGCTTTAATCGAAAAAATAAATTAAAACGAACCTCGAGTAATAAAAGAATTAATTACTATCTTTGCTATATTTCGAACTTAATTTTAAAAACACTTTATCAAGTATAAAAAAAAGTTGTTTTCGATATTTAAAAAAGGATTTGCTATTATCTTAAATACTAAAGCTAAAACTTACGGAGCCAAGTCCTTTTCCAAAAGCAAGAGCCGTCGAGCTAACGATCTTATAAACGCTAATAAGTTGAAAGATTTTAAAAAAAGCTTGCGACCGATTAAGTTGTCTTTTAACGACTCCGATTTAAGTATAAAAATCAATTTAAGAAGTGCGAAATCCACTCGTGAACTACGATTCACGAGCTAAATCGACGACTTTAAAGCATTATCTTTTTAGCCGGAATCTTTAAATTACGCATTCGATAAAGCTATAAAAGCCTTAGATAACTTGCTTAAAGACGAAAACGACCTAACCAATAGCTCTAGACCTTATTCTAGCTTCGCTAACCTTTCGTCAGCCAAATTTATACTTATCAACGATGCAACCGGCAACAAACGCAAGAACGATACGCGCTCTTTCACTTTTAAAAATACTGCTACTAGCACGTTATCGTTTAATGCTGGCTCTACTAAAAGAAGAAAACCCTTTTAGCTTAAAGAGAACGAAAAAGTTAAAAACGTAAGCACGGAAAGAGACTATAAAGAAGCTGCCGAAGCGTAGTTTAGATATTTAAAATTTAAAAACAAAATACTCTTCTTTTTTTTATATACTAGATTTTTTCTTTTCTTTTATACTTCCTTTTTTTCTTCTTGCTTGATAATAAGCGAGGGCGCCTACCTATTCTATAAAAGGACGGATGTAAACATTTTGCTTGATAGAGTACCTGCTATAGCCATTAAGGCCACATTAAACGGACCTATCTTTTATAAAAGAGCACACATCTTTTAACTAAAACAAAAAACGAGCTTTCCACTTACCTTTTCTAACACTTCTTTTGTGAGACCATGAGGTCTAGCCTCAAAGCCAGGCTTCTATACGGCACATCTTTTTGGGTGCTTCTATAGTATTATTAATAAATATAATTAATAAATAAAATAAATAAAAGTATTTTTATAAAATACAAAATTTATAATTAATCGTAAATTTTATGTTATATAAACTTAAGCATTAAGTTTAAGAATAATTTCAATTCCGTATCGTTATTTTTAACGCCGTAAAACAACTCCGGAGCTAGCTCGTCTTTTTTTTAAATCAATTGCATAACGCGTTAAAATAAAATAAGATCGCAATTAGCTTCTTTAAATTTAACATTCTTTTCGAATCCTTTTATTGTTACCAACGGTGACCTAAGATAAATTCCAGTAGTTGTGGTAGTGATTAGTCATCCAATCACGTGAAATTTTCTATACAGGTCTGGAAAGATTTCTGAGCGTGCCAAGACTTTTATTCCATGTTAATCTATTGAACTTTTTTCGGAACGAGTCGGCCCGTTTAATTCATGTACAACAGCTAAGCTTAATTCAGCCACCGCTATTAATTCTGCTAGCAGCTATACGTAACGCACGTCGCTGCTACACGTAACCTACGTAAAGCTGCTACACGTAACGCACGTCGCTGCTTTACGTAATACGTAAAGCAGCTAGGCTGCCACACGTAACTTACGTAAGGCTGCTACACGTAACCTACGTAAGGCTGCTACACGTAACTTACGTAAGGCTGCCACACGTAGCTTACGTAAAGCTGCCACACGTAACTTACGTAAGGCTGCTACACGTAACCTACGTAAGGCTGCTACACGTAACTTACGTAAAGCTGCTACACGTAACTTACGTAAGGCTGCCATACGTAACCTACGTAAGGCTGCCACACGTAACGCACGTCGCTGCCTTACGTAACGCACGCCGCTGCTTTACGTAACGCACGTCGCTAGCACTGCCTTACGTAATACGTAAGGGTGTGTATGGCTCGCAGATGCAAGCCAAGTTGCACTACCAAAATATTCTTGCATCTTTAAGTTGCACGTCAAGATGCAAGAATTAAGCAATCTGTATGGCTCGTGCACGTAAATCTTGCAAAGTGTGCATCTGACCTTACAACTGCAGTTGCACTATACAAATCGAAGTTGCAGCAAAAAGCTCTAACTCTTAAGTTGCAAGCTCAAGTTGCAAGCTATTCCTTCGCCCTCTACCCCCTTTTAACTTAACATAATAAAAGAATAATAACTTGAAATTAAATTTCGATTAATTGATTAATATTAAACTTAGTAAAGCATATCTTTTTATATAAAAATAATCACGATATATTATTTAATTGATTTTCTATTTATTAAAAAGAAGCAAATTTTACTATCTCGCCTTAATAATCGTCGGTTACCTTGGATTTAATTTATATAATTTACTTGTTTATTACAATTATTTTAATAACCACAACCTTAATTCTAAAAAACGTTATATAGATCGAAAATAAATGATTTAATATATTATATTATTAAACGTATTAATTATTAAATCAAAGTTAGTAGTGATGTACGTATTTTTTTAATAGATTTAAATAAAAGTCCGATTTTCGTATTCCTCGCTAATTCTAATATATACGCGGCAATTCTAATATATACGCATTATCAAAATCGAAAAGTATATATCAAAAGTACTATTTTTATTACTTTAACTCAACACAATAAAGGAATAACAACTTGTAATTAAAATTCAATTAATTGATTAACATTAAACTTAGTACGGCGCATCTTTTTATACAAAGATAATTATTATATAATAATTGGTTGATTTTTTATTTATTAAAAAGGAGCAAATTTTACTGTCCCGCTAGGTCGGGATTTTTTACAAATAAATTCCAAGTAACCGAAGATTATTACGAAAAAACAATTAATAGTTATATAAAA